TGGTGATTGAGAAGAGGACAAAGATTCGGGAGGTTAATCGACTGAAGAGCAAAGAGTGGTATAAGGGAATTCGGACTCATGAAACGTGACATGTCGGGAAGAAAAGACTCGAGAGGAAACAGGTTCAAAGCAGAGAAAGGAGCTTTGAGTCGGAGAGTAGCCGAAAAAAAGGCATGGAGACGACCTTGGTTCAATTTTGTTGTGAGTGTAAGGCCGTAACCAAGGGAAACATAGGCAACCAAAAGTACGGAGTTTAGAATAGTTTGGAGAGAGACCGAAAAGAGACTCATATGGTGATTTGTGGTCTAGTGTTTTGGTTGGAAGACGATTTATTAGATAAACCGCGGTCGGAAAAGCGAAAGACCAAAATGAGAGAGGCATCGAAGCTTGAGAAAGAAGGGTTAAACCGGTTTCCATTATATGGCGATGTTTCCTTTCCGAGATGCCATTATGTTCCGGTGTATGGGGCGGGGTGCTGAGATGTCCAATGCCATTGGCAGAGAGAAAGGAGCGAAGAGCCACATACTCTCCACCATTGTCGGAATATAGTGTTTGGATTTTAGAAGAGAAATGGTTTTCAACAAGTGCTTGAAACCGAGGAAAAATTTCTAGTACTTGTGATTTTCGTTGCATTTGATAAAGCCAAGTATAACGAGTGTGATGATCAACAAAAATCACATAGTACTTGCGGTTAAAAGAAAGGATTGGTGAAATCCACACACCGGAGAAAATAACTTCAAGGGGACGAGAGGATTGTAGAGTCGAGTTTGAAAACGGTAACTTGTGATTTTTATTGATAGAACAAGAAGAACATAACAAGGCTTTATTGGACGTAGACGACAATGGAAGAGAAAATTGACGAATGACTCGATGTAGAACTTCAGTTGATGGGTGACCTAACCTAGAGTGCCACTCAAGCAACGAAGTTTTTATTGATGAGAGTGCAATGGGAGAAGACGCGGAAAGGGAAAGGGTTGGCCACTCATACACGCCATTCCTAAGTTGTTCGGTTGTGAGATGTGCCCCCAAGGCGAGATCCTTCACCTGAAAGTAATGGGGAAAGAATTCAATAGAGAAACGGTTAGAGGTGCATAATTGGTGTACAGAAATAAGGTCTTTGCTAAGGTTTGGAACACAAAGAACATTGGCAACAGTAAAGGGACGAGAGTGAGAGTTTAGGGACATAGAACCCGTGTGAGTAATGGTATGTCCGGAACCGTCTCCGAGCTCAACATCATCACCGCCGATATAAGGGGAATGAACGGACAGATTGGCCAAGTCGGACGTGATGTGATGGGAAGCGCCAGAGTCGAGGAGCTATGTCGGAGTTGGAGGTGTTGGAGGCACAGTGGTAAGATGAGCTCGCGGTTGCCATGAAGAAGGCGATTGTTGACTCGTTGGAGGCAGCACCGAA